TGGAGCTCTCCGCTATCTCGTCGAACTTCCGGAGCGCCTTCCGCAGGGGCGCGGGGGGCCCGCTTTCCAGGAACTCTCGCGTGGGCGGCCGCACGATCAGCATGTGCCGCATGCGCGCGACGCGGAAGAACATGACGTAGAGGTGCAGCCACCACTGCTCGTCCGACATGCCCGTGCGACCAGCGTCTTCATCCCTGGCGCAGTCGATGGTGACGTCATCGCCGCGTCGGGGGACTGGGTTCAGCCGAGCGAGTGCCCCCCTTGATAGCACAAAAGTGACCCCGCTCGGATTGGCCCGCGAGGGCTCGCATCACCCTGTGTTGCTGAGGAACCCAACAGTAACGACAGCTTCGAGATCCGGAGGGTTCGTTCGGATTCTAACATGGAGCTGCGGGCCCCATCGAGAGGGGGCTCTCCCGCTTGAAGCCGCTTTGCAATTTACTCACAAACGCGGCTCCCGCCTGAGCCTTCTTCACAATTCAGGCCCGAGGGGCCCGAAAAGAACGCCCGAGGCTTCTGCCAAATTCATGCGTAAGTGGTCCAAGAGTGACGACAGTTAAAGAATTTGGACGACCCGCTGGGATTACCAACGTGGGCGGCGGGCCCCTCAGGGAGGGGTCTCCCGCCTGAGACTTCCCTTGAATTCACCCACAGACGAGGCTCCCGCCGTAGATTTTCTTAAGGTGAGTGTATGAATGTGTGACTGCGTGAGTGTGTGAGTGTGTTTGTGTGTGTGTGTGTGTGAGAGTGTGAACGAAGGTGGGGATAATGTCAATGATGACAGTGGTGATGATGAGTTGATGATTGAGTAAGGGAGGTGCTGATTCCTGATGAAGGTGATGATGTCAATGACGATGTGGCGATGATGATGATTATGATGGGCGTGGGTGTGTGAGTGTGTGAATGTGTGAGTGTGCGAGTTATGAAGAGAGTGGGTGATGATGATGATGCTGATGATGATGATGATGATGGTTATGATGATGCTGCTGGTGATGATGTGGGTGGGTTCCCGTCCCTGTTTTTGCGCTGGGTGTCCAGAGAGAACAAGAATCCCGTTTAGGATATAGTATATAGGGAAGCACGAATGCGTGTGACGCTAAGGCGATAACCACATTTTGCAAACGAGGCGCCCTCAATCCGCGAAGCGGTTGCCAACTTTTGAATTGAATGTGCGTGGCGCTGAGGCGAGGTCCGCATTACGAAAACCAGCCGCCCTCAGTCCGTGAACCCGTTGCGAATGTCTAAAACGAGTGTGCGCGGCGCTAGGGCGAGAGCCGCATTTTGAACACGACCCGCGCAACTCTTGCAAATGTTGAAGACGAGTGTGCGCGGCGCTAAGGCGAGAGCCACATGTTGAACACGACCCGCCCTCAATCCGTGAAGCTCTTGCAAGTGTTTACATCGAGTGTGCGCGGCGCTAAAGCGAGAGCCGCAATCTGAAAGCCACCTGCCTTCCAGCTGTGAAACTGGGTCATACTTCGAGGAAGTTTTAGGCGAAACGCCCAACCTGCCGTTTCGACCAGCCTGGGGGGTTGACAGGGAAGAGTTTGTTTTATAAGTAGAAGGAATTGGGGAGGACGGGGAAGAGTTGGAGGAGGAGGAGGAAACGGGGGAGGAGGAGGAGGAGGAGGAGGAGGAGGAGGAGGAGGAGGAGGAGGAGGAGGAGGAGGAGGAGGATGGGGGGGGATGTGGAGGCGGAGGCGGAAAAAGGAGGAGGAATAACAGGAGGAGGAGGAGGATACAGAGGGGAGGAGGAGGAGGAGGATGTTTAGTGCAGACCCAAGGCTCATCAACGATGTTGAAATACACCTTTTTTTCCAAGATCTCTCTTCACAGGCCCCTGCAAGGGGCCATTTCTACTGAGGGGATTGTGCCGTCTGGGGGCCACCGTGTGAACATTTTGAAGCGTGCCACGACACCATTCTCAGGAATTCAACGCCATGGGGTAATCTGAGTGTTACGTCTTGGGAATCTGGAATCGTGCCAGAACGCCATTCCTGAGATTTTAACACCGCGAATCATCGTAACTGTTGCGCCCAGACAATCCTGAACCTTTCCAAACCACCAGCGTTCTGATATACATATATATATATGTACATGTACGTATGTATGTATGTATGTATGTATGTATATATATATATATTATATATATATATATATATATATATATATAATATTCATACACACACATATATATATATATATATATATATATATATGTTTGCCACGAGAAGCAGTGATACATGTTCAAAACTAATGTGTGCAGCGCTGATGCGAGAGTTAGGTTTTGAAAAGAAGCCGCCCTCATACCGAGAATATCTGGCAATCTTTAACAATGAATGTGCGCGGCGCTAAGGCGAGATACAGATTTTGAAAATGACTCGCCCTCAGTCCGTGAAGTTCTATTGCGCATGTTTACAACGAATGTGCGCGGCTCTGAGGCGAGAGGCACAGTTTAAAGAGCCGCCCTCAAACCGTGAAGCTCTTGCAATTGTAAAAAAACGAATATGCGCGGCGCTAAGGCGAGAACCGTATTGTGGAAACGGTCCGCCCTCAATGGCCCTCAATCCGTGAAGTTCTTGCGGATGTTTAAGACGAGTGTGCGCGGAGCTAAGGCGAGAACCACATTTTGAAAACGAGTCGCCCTCCATCCGTGAAGCTCTTGCAAATGTTCAAATCGAATATACGCGGCGCTAAAGCGAGAGTGACATTTTGAAAACCATTCTCCATCCATCTGTGCAGCTGTTGTCAACGGTTAAGCAACGTGATCATAATTGGTGAGGAAGTCTCAGGCGAAACACCCAGCCCGCCCTCTCGACAGGCCTCGGGGTGCGACAGGGAGGGGTTGTTTATAAGGACAACATGGAATGGAGGAGGAGGAGAAGGAGTAAGAGGAGGAGGAGGAGAAGGAGGAGGAGGAAGAGGAATAGGAGGAACAGGAGGAGGAACAGGAGGAGGAGGAGGGCGATGACGATGATGATGATGACGATGACGATGATGATGACGATGATGATGACGATGATGATGGTGATGCTGATGCTGATGATGATGGTGATGATGATGCTGATGCTGCTGATGATGATGGTAATGATGACGATTATGATGATGATGATGATGCTGATGATGATGATGATGATGATGATGATGGTGGTGGTGGTGGTGGTGGTGATGATGATGATGATGATGATGATGAGGATGATGAGGATGATGAGGATGATGAGGATGATCATGATTATGAGGAGGAGGAGGAGGAGGGCGAGGTTGACGACGGGGAGGATGTTGGGGAGGACCAGGAGGGCGATGATGAGGAGGGGGGGAGAAGGGAGAGGCGGCGGAGGAGGAGGAGGAGGAAGAGGAGGAGGAGGAAAAGGAGGAGGAAGAGCAAGAGGATGAGGATCAGGAGGGAAAAGTGGAGGAGGAGGAGGAGGACGGAGTACGAGGACGAGGAGGAGGAGTGCGAAGAGGAGGAGGTGGAGGAGGAGGAGGATGCGGGGGAGGGGGAGGAGGAAGAGGAGGAAGAGGAGGAGGAGGAAGAGGAGGAGGAGGAGGAGGAGGAGGAGGAGGACCAGTGTAAAACCAAGAGTCATCAACGACGTTGGAATTAACGCTCGCTCCAAGCTCCCTCTTCATAGGCCCACACAACGGTTCATTTTCATCGAGGGAACTGCCTCGTTGGAAGGGAACCGTTTGAAGATCCGGAAGCATGGCAACACATTGTTCTCTGGATTTCAGCGCTACGCATCAACCTGACTGCTGCGTTTTGACGATCCGGAATCTTGCCAGAGCGCAGTTGTGGGACTTCAACACCGCGAATCAGCATAGTTGTTGCACCCGCATAATCCTGAATTCTTCCACAACAGAATTTCTGGTACGCTGGTCATGGGTATCCGTGAATCTCCTTTGGAAATTGAGCACGAGTGTGCGCAGCGCTAAGGCAAGAGCCACATTTTGGGAAGGAGCCGCCCTGAATCCGTGAAACTCATGCAAATGTTTGAAACGAATGTACGCGGCGCTACGGCGAGAGCCACATTTTGAAAAGGAACCGCATTCAATCCGCAAAATGCTTGCATTTTTTGTAAAAATGAATGTGCTCGGCGCTAAGGCGAGAGCCACATTTTGAAAACTACCCGCTTTCAATCTGCTAAGCTCTTGCAAATGTTTAAGACGAGTGCGCGCTGCGGCGAGAGCCACATTTTGAAAACCACCCGCCCTCAATCCGTAAAGCTTTTGTGAACTTTAGAAACGAATGTGCTCGGCGCTAATGCGAGTGCCACATTTTGAAAACGACCATCGCTCAATCCGCGAAGCTCTTGCAGATTTTTAAAGCGAGTGTGCGCGGCGCTGAGGCGAGAACTACATTAAAAAAACGACCCGCCCACCATCTGTGAAACTGTTGTCACTTTTCAAGCTCCAAAGTCATAAATGGTGAAGAAGTCTATGGCGAAACGCCCGGCCGCCTTAAAAACTGGCTTCGGGGAGCGACAGGGAGGAGTTATCTATAAGGAGAAGGAATGGAGGAGGAGGGGGAGGATGAGGAGGAGGAGAAAAGGAGGAGGAGGAAGGGAGGAGGAGGAGGAGAAGGAGGAGGAGGGGGAGGAGGACCATTGTAAAACCGAGAGTCATCAGCGACGATGGAATTAACCCTCGCTCCAAGCTCCCTTGTCACAGGCCCCTACAACGGTTCATTCCCATTGAGGGAACCGCCTCGTTGGGAGACAACCGCTTGAAGTTCCGGAAGCATGCCGAAACATTGTTTTAGGGAGAATTTCAACGCCACGTATCAACCTGACTGCTGCGTCCTGACGATCGGAGTCGGGCCAGAGCGTCATTTGTGGGACTTCAACACTGTGAATCAACATAGTTGTTGCGCCCGCATAGTCCTGAATCCTTCCGCAACACCATGTCTGGTACGTTGACCATTGGAATTCGTGAAGCTCGTGTAAATGTTTAAAACGAATGTGCGCTGCGCTGCGGCGAAGGCCACATTTTGAACACCACCA